TGGCTATGTGCATTGAAAATATCTTCTCCCACCCACCTATAGCTTATCTTCTCACACTGTTATGTCTTTGGTTAGAAGGAAGTTTTCCATTTTAATGCAGTTGAAGTTAGCAATCCTTTAATGATCTGTGTTTTTTGTATCTTAAAAAATCCTTTCTCGGGGTGCCTGGGTGGCTCAGTCGTTAAGCGTCTGCCTTCAGCTCAGGTCACGATCCCAGGGTCCTGGGATCGAGCCCCACATTGGCCTCTCTGCTTGGCGGGAAGCCTGCTTCTCCCTCTCCCATTCCCCCTGCTTGTGTTCCCTCTCTCGTTGTGTCTCTTTCTGTCAAATAAATAAATAAAATCTTAAAAAAAAAAAAATCCTTTCTCATCCTTAGAACATAAATATATTCTATATTTCTTCTAAAGTTTTAATGGTTTGCTTTCATAATTAGGTCTTTAACTCGCAGTTATTTCATGTATATAACCAATTCTCTCTTTTCCATTTTCTCTGCCACTGATTTGTAATGCCCCTGCAGTCATCTATTAGATTTCCATATATGCATGGGTCTGTTTCTGGAAGTTCTACTCCATTTCATTAGGCACTTAATCTATCCCTGTCCTAAGACTGCGTTTGATATCTGGAAGACTACCATCTTAGTCTCCTTCAAGATTGATATTCTTGGCACTTGACTATTCAATATGAATTTTTAAGTTAAAAAAAAACAAAAAAACCCTGTTGGTATTTTGATTAAAACTGCACTAAATTTAGAGACTTATCTGGAAAGAACTGACTTCTTTATGATACTGAGTTTTCTTCCCCAGAGAAGATTTCCATTTGTTTTTGCAGGTACCTGGCAGTACTATTATCAACCTGCATCCAATTTAAAATTGCTGGCTAGATGGTTTTGGACCATATGGTAGTGTGAATTTCGGCCCCACACATGCATGAAGACTGACTTGTGGTCAGACATTCACTGAGGAGATTTTCTGACAACCCTCTACCAACGTCATAGTCTACATGAACAAGGTGGTATGTTTCTAGATCACCTTTATGCTGTAAGTATAGCTCTTTGGAGTCCCAGCCTTATGCAGTTTTCTACTAGACTTCTCATCTTCAACTGGCCATAGAATTAACTCTCCTGTCCACTGTAACTCCTTATACATATTGAAACAGAAGCTCAAGGTCACCCGCATTTGGCAGATGCCTCCAGGGTAAAAGCCAGCTGAATACCTGTTTACTTCTTTGCATTCTATCATCTACTTCATTTTTGGCCCTAGGATTCCTTTCTTTCTTATCAGATCAACTATACATTTAAAAAATATATTTAAAAAATCTTATCCTGCATTTCTATTTTTAGTAGAAAGGTTGTCTAAGATATTTTAAAATATTCTATAGCTTAATTTTTATCTACTTGATTTACGAGTTTGGGATGGAAGTGTATTAAAATCTCTAACTATGATTATAGACTTGTAATTCCTTATCTGTATTGTTTTTGGTTTTTTGGGGTTTATTTTAAATATACAAATTTCAAGTTAAATACAAAAGTTCATCATTATTTTATGTTCTTAGTTGATTTTTCCTTTTATTAATATGTACTGTTTCACTTTATCCTTATTAAAGCCTTTAGTCTTCCATCTGTCCAATAATGATAATCTACATTAGTTTTCTTTTCCCATTTTTGGGCAGTTTTAGTTTTGGTATCTCTATAATGAATATACAGATGATTGTGGTTTTTATTCAAATTGCTGTCTCCATGTCTTTTAATAAAGATCAATTCATTTATACTTACTGTGAACTACTCATATACTGGGTCTATTTCTACTTCTTGTTTTCTACTTATCATCCCTTTCCTTTGTTTTATTTATTTTTTTACTTTTTTAAGCTTTCCCATCTTCCACTGAACTGATCATGTTTTCAATATTCCCTCTCCCACTTCTGTTTTGGAAGCTAGCTATACTTTGTATGTATACTATTTTAGTTATCTTTAATTTAGTATTTTTTTCATTGTATATATTTAATTATATATTGTTCTGAAAGAGTCTGAAATTACTTAATATTTCTATCTTCTTCCTGAACATGACACGAACCTTACCGTATTACACACAACCTATTTGTTGTTACTATTTAAAGCTACACTGTCCAGTTTGGTAGCCATTAGCTACATGTGGCTTTTCAATCCTTGATATGTGGCCAGTCTGAACTGGGTTGTGCTCTAAGTGTTAAAACACTGGATTTTGAAAATTTAACATTAAAAAATGAAACTAAAATATCTCAATAAATTTTTTAATGATTACATGTTGAAATGATATTTTAGTCCTATTGGGGTAAATAAAACATTACTAAAAATTAATTTCATATTTTTTCCCTTTTAATGTTACTACCAGAAAATAAACCTAGACTTTAGTTTTAACTGTTTTAAATGTACTCCCCCCAAAAACCTAATTATCTTTCTGCTATTAATAATTAATAACATTTATCATTTCACCTAATTAAATTCTTCATTATGTAATAACAGTTTACCTGGATATGATATGGCACTGGGCATTATTTTCCCTTAGTATTTAAGCTACTACTTCATAATCTCCTAGCATCAACTGTTGCTGATGAGAAACCTTCTGTTATAATGTTGAATTATACCTCTGTAGATAATCTGCCTTCTAACTTTGGTGGCTTTTAAGATTTTCTCTTTTCCTTTGATATTCTAAAGTCTTACTACAATCTGTCTAAATGTATATTTATCTTTATTTAACCTACCTGACACTCTAGGGTCTACTTTTGATTCGAGGATTCAGGACCTTCTTTAATGCTAAAAATTCTCCACCTTTGTGTCTTCAAAAATTAGTTCTCCACCAATCTCTGCATCTTCTTTTTCTGTAATTCTTATTATATATATACTGGACACTCTCAGTTAATCCCCTATGTCTTTTAAGTACTCTTAGTATTTTCGAACCCATTAATTCTCTCATCAGCGGTGTAAAGGATAAAATTTATCCCATCTTTTAAGTTTTTTATATACTAAGTACATTTTTAATTTCTAAGAGTTGTAGTTGGTTCTTTTCCACATTAACCTGCTCTTGTTGCGTTTCTTCTGTTTCATAATTTTGAGTTCTCTTTAAATGGAAAGTATCAATTAACTTATTTCTTTGAGCATCCTAAAAATGCTTTAAAGTTTCTTCCAATCAATGGAATACTATGCAGCCGTTAAAAAGAGTAAGATCATCCATAGGTACTAATATGGAATGATCTCTAAATATGTTATTAAATGGAAAAGCCAAGGTATATAATTGTGTGTGTAGATGCTACCATTTATATAAAAGTGTATGTATGTGTGTGTGTATATGCTTGTACATGCGTAGACTATCTCAAAAAGGATAGCAAGAAATTGGTATAGTGGTTGCCTCTGGGGAGGGGAACTGGGTGGCTAGGGGACAGAGGTGGGAGACAGACTTACTTTTCACTGTTTACCCTTTTGTACCTTTGAATTTTGTACCACGTGCATGTATTACCTAGTCAAAAAAAAATAAATAATTTATTTTTAAAAATAAAGTCTTTGTTGGACTACTCCATAAAATTAATTTCATCCAGAAAATATGCTTGTTTTAGTTGCTGAATTTGTTATGATATTAATATTAGATGTCTTCATGAGTCTTAGAATTTTGGTTATAGGCTTATTTTAAGTAAGAAAGGTTTTTAATTATTTTTTCCTCTCTTTCCTATTTAATGGTTTTATAATTGCCCCCACTTGGATTTCTGAACCCCAATCCACAATTAGGCCTTATAATGACATTAAGGCCTTCAGTTTCATGATGAGATTGGAGCTATCACACATAAATATTCAATCACTGACTCAGTAATGGCTTCATTGAATTCCTGGCCATGAGGGTGTGTCTTAATCAGCCAAAATCCATGGCCTCAGGTAGTGAATAGCTTTTCCCTTTTTTTCAGCCTTTCACAAATGGGACAGGCATTCTAGCCAATGCATTGTGTAGTACTTTTGGCTCTGGTTCCTGCCTCATATGAAGCACTTTAGTACTTTTGATTCTTGACAGGAACTAAAACCACTACACGTCAGTACCAGACTCAAAACCCAGTTGGGTTTGTGGTTTTAAGCCTATAACAGCTTGTGTCTGTGTTCCATTTATGGCTCACAAAAATGTTTATGTTGTTTCAAAGCATGGCTGTATCTTTTGTGCTATTTAATCTGTCATTCTATGTGTTTGGAGCATAGAGGTTACACCAAAATTCAATGTCACCATAACTAGAAGTAATTTCCCTATTTCTTTTTTTTGAACATTTAAAGGATTCAGTATAAAATGAATATAATCTTATTACATAATGTTTAAAAAACAGAAAATTACTCATCATCCATTCATTCTAACCCACCCCATGTTAGCATTGAAAAATATTTCCTTATCTTCTGCATCATGTCATATTTGTAACAATTTTTATCATGATTTTAACATATATTGCCCCAAGCATTTGTCAATGTTGATATGTAGTCCCTGTGACCATCATTTTAATGACTGCATATTAATCCACCAAGCTTTCAACTGTTATTTACTTCCCACATTATTGAGAATTTAAGGTGCTTCCAACATGCTTTTAGAAAGAAGTTCTCTGTGCATATGTGTTTTTTCCCCTCAACAGTTTGGATTTGGGGGACAGGGGTAAGAGAGGCTTAGCAATGGGACTGCCATAATTCTACACAGATCATTAGCCCAAAGATATTGCAGGACTATCATAATACATGGCTGAGGTTCATAATGATGACCCTGATCTATGAAGAGAAAAGGTAAAATCATATGGAAGTAAAAAATACATTTCAGAAAGATTATAATCCAAAATGGTTAATACCAAGTTTTGTAATTAAAGGAATAAGTTTCATAAGGGATAAAATTCACAAATCACAAATACGTATCTAGCACTGCTGGGCAAGACATTACAAATTTTCATTAACTTCCAAATGAGAATATTTTGTGTCACACTAATAAACTTCACTATTTCACTAAAATACTAACCTGATATTATTTACACAATCTTCATGAGCTTCAGAAAGTGTTTTTATGTGCTTTGAAGATATAGGGTCAAAAAGCAGAACTTCAGTCTGTTCACAAGCAACAGTCAGCACTGACCTGAAAGCAAAGGATATATTTCCCTTTAGTTTTCTAGCATTCTCTTATTATTGATATTCACTTATTTATAATTACACAAACTGTAATGAATAACTTTTTTTTGTCCATGTTAGAAGCAAATATTTACAAGATTGAAACTATCTGTTCTTGGCAATAGTAGGAAATGGTACTCTCAAACATTATGGTGGAGCATAAACTGATACAGCTTAGGTTTGGAGAGTACCCGTATCTACCAAACTTTTAAATGTGTGTACCTTTTGACTCAGCAATTTTTCCTGGGAATTTAATCTAAAGAAATAATCATTTATAAATACAAAGAATCATATATAAAGATACACCTCACCATAATGAGAAATCAAAAAGTAACCTAAATGTACATGAAAGAAGGAACGATTGATTATATAAGCCATGGTATGTAACACTTTGCAATATGGTGCAACATTTAAAAAGATAGGGATAGTTTCATATGGATATGAAAGAACTCCAAAACATTTTTTTTTTTTTTGAGAGAGAGAGAGAGAGAGTGAGAGAGTGAGCATGTGTAAGAGAGTGCTGGGGGGTGGGGATGGGGAGGAGCAGAGAAGAGGGAGAGAGTCCCAAACAGGCTCCATGCTCAGCGTGGAGCCCAATGGCAGGGCTCTATCTCATGAGAAAGCAGAAAGCAAGAGCCAGACACCTAACCAACTGAGCCACCCTGGCGCCCCCAAAACATATTTTTATTTTTATTTTTATTTATTTTTTTAAAGATTTTATTTATTTATTTGAGACAGAATGAGAGAGAGAGAGAGCACATGAGAAGGGGGAGGGTCAGAGGGAGAAGCAGGCTCCCTGCCGAGCAGGGAGCCCAATGCGGGACTCGATCCCGGGACTCCAGGATCATGACCTGAGCCGAAGGCAGTCGCTTAACCGACTGAGCCACCCAGGCGCCCACAAAACATATTTTTAAATGAGAAAAGCTGGTTGTAAAAATAACATGCATAGATGAGGCAACTTAGGAAAAAAAGGTCATATATGACAAAATTATATATTTATCAGTATCTATTAAAATGTACTGAAAAAAGTTTGGCATATATCCTACCAAACCAGTTAGATATAATCAAACTTAATCTTTTCCTTTACAGTTTTTAGTATTGTCTCTTGTTTCAGCCCCTTCCTATTACAAAGTTATATTATTATAAACCTTTTATAAGCCCCATTTTGATTTCTGAAAATCAACTGTCTTTTATTTAAGTCTTAGTTTTCTGTGGGCACTGATCTTTCAGATTCAGATCTAGCAAATGAAATCCTGAGTCTTGGAAACTGCAGGCCTTCCCAATTTATAGTTCCAATAACAAATGGAATTTGTACATCTAAGATGAAAATGAGACAGAATTAAAAAAAAAAAATTTTAAGTAATCTCTATACCCAATGTGTGGCTCGAACTCACAACCCCAAGATCAAGAGTCACATGCTCTACCAACTGAGCCAGCCAGGTGCCCCAGGATAGAATTTTAAATAGCCAAAAGTTTGTTTCTATTCAGAACAAACTTTTTAGATAAAGTAGGAGAGGGAAAAAATCTAAATTGAAATATTTTCCATATTTAGTAATCATGAAATTGTCCTTTAAACACTGTCTGCTCTGCATAAACCCATTTTTGAAATATCTGGACTTCAAAAATTTAGTTCTGAAGGATTTTTGTGCTAGTTGATCAGCATGAGTTAAAATATTCAAATTAATATTTGTAATTTTAGAAGATAAATAAACAGCCATTTCTTTTTGTTACTCACAAGAGTCATAGAATGAACTTTACTCCTTTTTGTGCAAAAAAGTAAATGAATCACGGGTGCTGGTGGCTCAGTCAGTTAAGTGTCCAACTCTTGTTTTCGGCTCAGGTCATAATCTCAGGGTTGTGAAATTGAATCCGCAGCAGGAGGAGCAGGCTCCTCTGTGCTGGGCATGGAGTCTCCTTAAAATTCTCTCTCTCCCTCTCCCTCTGACCCTCCCTCACCACCCTCTACACTCTCCCTCTCTAAAACAAACAAAGTAAATGAATTGGCGATTCTGGGAGAGTCTTAAACATTGTAAGAGATTTATAAAACTGATAGTCATTGCTTTGTTTTAATACAATCTATTTTTGTACATGGCCTGATTTGTAACTTTTTAAAATGAGTATCATTTGTCCCAATATCAAAGCCTATACTTTTCTCATTGGTTTGAAATGTGATCTTTATCATGTTATGTTTTTGGATTCTATATCTTATTCTATGCAACATCACCATACTATTTTAATTTCTAAAAGGTTTCACATATGCAAAACAAGATGAACATTGCTTTATGAACTTTTTTTTGAAGGGCTAATATGCTTTCTCAATGGGGCGGCGGGGGGGCGCTAATAATATGCTTTGTCTTCCAATGAATTTTAGATATGGCATGTCAGGTCCTACTAAAAAATCTTGTATTTTTACTGGGATGCACTGACTTTACAAATTAATTCGGTAGAATTTATATCATTCAATACTGAATCATCCCATTAGTAACATGTCTACCTTCCCACATATTTTAGATTTTCTTAGCAAGAGTATCTTAGCAATTCTTGGACCTTTAAACATCCTTATACATTTCGAATCAACTTAATCAAGTTATGTACACACACATACAAATCCAGCTACGGATTTTGAGACTATAATAAATCTATAGAAGAGTTTGCATACAGAGCACCTGGGTGGCTTAGTGGGTTAAGTGTCTGACTCTGGCTCAGGTCGTGATCCCAGGACCCTGAGATCAAGCCAGACTGAGACTCCCTGCTCAGTGGGGAGTCTCTTTGTCCCTGACCCTCTTCTTCTTCCCTCTGCCCATTCCTCTACTTGTGCTCCTTTGGTCTCTCTCTCTAATAAATAAAATCTTAAAAAAAAAAAAAAAAGTTTGCATAGAATTGAGATCATTACAATACAAAGTCTTTCAATCTATATACATGGTGTATTTCCATTTACCATGGAGATTTTCTCCATATGGTTCATGTCTATCTTCTTAGATTTATTCCTGGGTATCTGACGCTTTTTTAATGCTTTTGTAAATGTTCTTTTTAAAAATTTGCTGTTTGTTGTTGGTGTAAGAAATGCAATTGATTTTAAAATTATTTATCCATCAATCTTGCTATTTTAATACTTTTATCTATAGGTTATTTTAGGGGTTTTTTTGTCAATAATCATATCATGTACAAACAAATGCTTTGTTTTTTTTAATACTTTGTTACTACACTAGCTAGGACTTTCAGTATAATGTTAAATAGAAATGTTAATATTAGCAGGCACTCCTCTCATTCCTGATTTTCAAGAATACCTTCACCGTTTCATCATTAAGTACAATGTTTGCTGTGGAATTTGTTTTGTTTTTCTTTTTTGGGGGGGGTAGATTCCTATTATTGGATTAAGGAGGTTCTACTTAAATTTGCTGGGGTTTTTTTTCCATTATTTTCAATTGCATAAAATGGTTTTCCAACATTTACTGAAATTACCCTATATTTTTCCTTCAGTATCTTAATGTAGTGATTTACATTATTTTATTTTCTACACTTTTCATTTCTACCATACTGCTTAATTCAGTTGCTAAAATGGTGGGCTCACATTTCTGGCTTCCCTCCTTTTGTAGATCTCGGCCCTGCAATTTACTAACTGCCTTAATTCTCCAGTCTCTTCAAACATAAGCTTTTTATATCTTACATTAAATATTTTATATTTTTTCTAGCTTTTCTAATTATTGTCTGTTAAAGGGCTGGCCCAAACCACCTACTTTACTACTTCTGGAAAGCTAAAATCTCTACCTCTTGCATCTGAAGTTATGTTCCCTTTTCAATCTGAATATTGTTTAGTTGGGGATTCTTTTTTTTTTTTAAGATTTTATGTATTGAGAGAGAGCGCAGGAGAGCAGGGAGTGGTGCAGAGGGGGAGGGACAAGGAGATTCAGCACTGAGAGCCCTAGGTGGGACTTGATTCCCCACAACCACGAGACTATGACCTGAGCCGAAATCAAGAGTAGAACACTCAACTGACAGCCACCCAGGTATCCTGGGGATTCTCTTCATCAATGTGTTTTTCATTTTTATTTCTTTTCAAAGACAAAATTTTCTGTTGAGTATTTGTATTGAAATTCTACTCTGTTACTATATTTCCTTCCTTCTGCTTTCTTCAGACTTACTTTGCTATTATTTACAGATCACTTCACTATTCTCTATTTCTTGAGATGGATACTTAGCTCATTAATTTTCCTTGTCTTCCTTTCCAGTTTATTTTTTTATTTTTTATTTTTTTTTTTTAAGATTTTATTTATTTATTTGAGACAGAATGAGAGACAGAGAGTCAAAGGGAGAAGCAGACTCCCTGCCGAGCAGGGAGCCCGATGCGGGACTCGATCCCGGGACTCCAGGATCGTGACCCGAGCCGAAGGCAGTCGCTTAACCAACTGAGCCACCCAGGCGCCCCTTCCTTTCCAGTTTATTAATGACTACAATTTTCCTAGTAAGTGCTGTTTTACTTATATCCTACAAGTTTTGAGACATAGGGTACTTTCATTATCATTTAGTGTTAAATATTTCTAACTTCCATTATCATTTCTTATTTGGCCCATGTTATTTATAAATGTTTCTCAACTTGAAAACACATGGAAGTTTTTCTAGTTATCTTTTTGTTATTCATTTCTAATGATCACATTGTACTGAGAAACTGTACTTCCATGATAACCTTTTGAAATGTGGCCTTTTAAGTGAAAATTTGTAAATCTTCCATTTTGTTTGTAAAAAAAAGTAAGCAGGAGATAGCTGTTACCTATAGTCAAGGGTGATATTTAAAAATGTTCAACGTTCAATAGTAATATAAATTAACATACGAATAAAAATTTGAAAACATTTTCAAAATAAACTAACCTATAATTATGTATGCCAAGTGAAGGTTCTAATTAAGTTGCTCATCAACTTAATTTCCATTATTTATTAACTTTTGGAAATTATAGCCATAATCTTTTCTTT